AGTCCTCTCACTGCTGTGGCCTCTCCTGTTGCAGAGCACAGGCTCCGGACGCACAGGCTCAGCGGCCACGGCGCATGGGCCCAGCCGCTCTGCGGCATGTGGGATCTTCCCGGACTGGGGCACGAACCCGTGTCCCCTGCATCGGCAGGCGGACTCTCAACCACTGCGCCACCAGGGAAGCCCAATCAGTATGTTTTTAAAAAACTTCCGCAGTGATGAAAATGTTTTGGAATTAGATAGAGGTGGTGGCTTCACAACCAGGTGACTATACTAAATGCACTGAATTGTTCACTTTAAAATGGTAACTTTTATGTTACATGAATTTCACCTCAATAAAAAGAAAAAAAAAGAACCCCTGCTCCTTAACATCCATCTATCTCTGTATGGGGTCACTTGTCCTAGGGAATTAGGTGGGGTCCATCAGGAATTCTTTCCCTTCCCTGCTGGGGGCAGCCTCCTCCTGGTAAATTGAAGCCTCTCGGTTGCTGACACAGTGTTTAGATGAAATCCAAAGTCTGGCTCTTCCATGAATATGACTCTTGTACACATTCGGGGTTCCAGCTCCTATCAGAGAGAACCTCAGACCCTGACTTTGGTAGGTAACTTTTCCCAGGGGCCATGATGAAGATTGGCAGGAACTGGGCAGCAAGACAAAGCAGGCAGATCAGTGTGATCACAAACATTTCTTCCCCATTCCCCCTGCTAGGCTAAATTCTCCCCAAATAAAGGATCTTTTCTCTAAGTTTGGTCAGAATCCATTAATAAATAAGACTTTATCCATGAATGTTTTCACCTTTATTTCTCTTGATATACTTGAGATACAGACATTTCATCCACAGCAGGGTTAAGTGATGTGTGTATGTTTTATGTAAACCGGAGGTACAACCACGGCTAAGATAACATCTGGCTCAGCCACTAGCATCACTGACAAGGATCCTAGGAAGTTCACCATCACCTTGACGATTGATCCAGGACTTTATTGGAGAATGAGTGACTCCAGGGGGATTCAGAAAATGAAAGCATGAGAAGGAGGTCTGTTATTTTTTTGCGTCTTGATGACTCTCAATAGTCAGTCGTGGGTTGCGTTCCTTCATTTCTTTCAGCAGCTTCTGGCTGCGAGCATCAGATTCATCTATCTTCAACCTGGGAGGTAAAAAGGGGAGGAACATTTCCTGATGCTTCAAGGAGAGTCATTCCAAATGCCCAAGTGCCTGCAAATCTCATGATTTAGGAATGTGCAGAGCAAGGGCCATCTTTCCTGGCTATTATATGCTGCAAAGTAGAGTTCCATATCAATTTGGTAGGGAAAAATGATGCTATCACGTTAACATCGTAATGGTGTAAAGCCACTCTGCAGCTTTGGAAGCTTGGATGATCTTGGGTGAGGGTCATATCATACTTGGCACTGGAGGTGGAGTTGATGAATACATCTGTGATGTACCTCTAATAACTACCTAGTCCATAACTCACTTGGACACTTAAAGCCCACCCCAACTTCTCCTACATGGTAGAGCCAGGATGAGGAATACACACGAATCAAGTCGGTGGGATTAGCTTTTTATCCCCCTTCGTTAGAAGATACTAGATAACTACCACCCTGTATTTGCCCTGTGATGAGAGGCAGTCTCATTTCTTGGATTCACCTTTTGGTGTATATTGTCTGTGGCTGCTTTCTTTCTGCAGTGGCAGAATTGAGTAGTTGCTACGGATAATATATTTCCTGCAAAATTGAAAGTATTTACTATCTGGCTCTGCAGAAAAAGTTTGCTGACCCCTGGTTAAGAGTATGTGCTCTAGGGCTTCCCTGGTGGCGCAGTGGTTGAGAATCTGCCTGCCAATACAGGGGACACAGATTCGATCCCTGGTCTGGGAGGATCCCACACGCTGCAGAGCAACTAAGCCCCGTGCTCTACAACAACTGAGCCTGTGCTCTAGAGCCCGTGAGCCACAACTACTGAGCCCGTGTGTCACAACTACTGAAGCCCACGTGCCTAGAGCCCGTGCTTTGCAGCAGGAGAAGCCACCGCAGTAAGAAGCCCGCGCACCTCAACGAAGAGCAGCCCCCACTCGCGGCAAGTAGAGAAAGTCCGTGCGCAGCAACAAAGACCCAACACAGCCAAAAATAAATAAATAAAATAAATCAATTTATTAAAAGAAAGAAAAGAGAATGTGCTCTAGATTTTGACTGCCTTTCACACTCTGCCTCAGGTTTACAAAACAGTTATGATAATAGTAATACCTGCCTCATATTATTGTTTGAGGATTGAATGGGATAATATATGCAGTGGGCTTAGAATGTACGTGACGTGTTATCATCACTAAATTTTATGGTTTTAAAAAATTGAAGAGTTGATTTAAAATATTGTTAGTTTCAGGTGTACAGCAGGGTGATTCAGTTATTTTTTTCTGATTATATTCCATTATAGATTCTTACAAGATATTGAATATTGTTATTTAGCCACAGGCTATTTTCCAGTCATAGAGCCTGGAAAGTCCTCAGGTTTTCCATTTTGTTCCTTGAAAAACATTGGCTCTCAAAGAGGCAAAATGAGTTAAAATTAATACCTGTAAAAATTAATACAAAATAAGTGACATGGATGCACACTTAAATGTCAACAGGAACTAATACCATCAACTGTAGAGCAAATGAACATGACCATTGTGATAGATACATTGTAGTTAACATAGAATATGGATGCATTTCAATATCCTTGGTATGATGGAGTCAGCTAATTGCACTTGTGTCAGTGGTTCTCAACCAGGGGTGATTTTTGTTCCCCAGTGGACATTTGACAAAGTTCGGAGACATTTTTGGTTGTCAGAACTGGATGGTGCTACTACTGGCATCTAGTGGGTAGAGACCAGGGGTGTTGCTAAACGTCCTACCATGCACAGGACAGCTCCCCATAACAAAGAATCATCCATCTCAAAATATTGCTAGGTGCCAAGGTTGAAAAAACCTGACCTAGTTGGTCTGGGAGAGAGATTACATATTAGAATTGAGACAGGCTGGGGAAATCCCGTGGTGGTACGGTGGTTAAGAATCCGCCTTCAATGCAGGGGGCGTGGACTCGATCCCTGGTCGGGGAACTAAGATCCCACATGCCGCGTGGTGCGGCCAAAAATTAAAAATAAATAACTGGGGCTTCCCTGGTGGCGCAGTGCTTGAGAGTCCGCCTGCCGATGCAGGAGACGCGGGTTCGTGCCCCGTTTCGGGAAGATCCCACATGCCGCGGAGCGGCTGGGCCCGTGAGCCATGGCCGCTGAGCCTGCGCGTCCGGAGCCTGTGCTCCGCAAATGGGAGAGGCCACGACAGTGAGAGGCCCGCATAACGCAAGAAAAAAAAAAAACAAAAAACTAAAATGTAGTAAACAGAAATTTTTAAAAATTAAAAAAAAAAATACAAGAATTGAGGCGGGCTGGGACCTGGGCCCCTTTGCTGCAATGCTTGCACCTGGACTCCTCCAGCAACAAAATACAAAGAAAATACATGGGACTAAAAATAACTGCGTGCCTGCCCACAGGTGGGGCAAATTCTGGACAAAAGATACAGAGAGACCAAAAAACGCAACTGACAATTTTGAAGAGCCCGGAGCAAAAGCGGGGGGGGGGGGTGGGGGCAAAAGCAGGGTACTGAGCAGGCCCCCTGCAAACACCACCTCATGGGTGGGCAAACCACCTAAGCCCCCCCTCCAGCCCGACCCCCTGGACACACCCCTACCCTCTCCCCATATAAGGAGAGAGCTCAGCCCCCTCCCCCTGCCTTGGGGAGCAAGCCAGCAAGGAAACCTGGAGTTTGTTCCCTCTCCCCACAGCTGCAGCAAGTGCCCCAATAAAACCTTGCACGAATTTCTCGTCTGGCCTCTGATCAATTTCTATTGATTGGGGAAGGTCAAGAACCCTGGTCAGTAGCAGAATCACCTGGGGGGCTTTTGATGGCTCCTGGCTCCTTAAAGCCCACCCCAGACCAATTCAAGTAGGATGACCGAGGATAGGACGTGGGTAATTTCCATGTGAGTCTCATTTTAAAGATTGAGAACCACCGGTTGACCGTTATAAGGAGAGCCATTTCACCCTGGGCCGGAAGTCCTGCCCTCCTCCCGGTCCCACGGGCCAATCACA